GTTGCCAACCTCAAGGCGGAGCCTGGAGAGAAGGAAATCCTACTTATCTCCCCCTTTAGGCGAGCGAGGAGGTGGCGAGGTTTCCGGGCACCTAAACCAAAACACCCCACATTTGGATTTACAAAAGCCGAACCCGGGCGGAGGGGGAAGGCAAGGCAGCCTTGCACTCCCCTTTCGCGTGCCCCATGCCACGTGGCTGGGAGCAGCAATAGCACATGGGCTTTTGGCAGGGGGGAGACAAAGTTCGGCACCCCATCCAGGGCCCGGCGCTCTAGGCGAATGCCTAGTTCGCCTAGTGGGTGAGCCAGCCCTGTCTGCACAAACTAAACAGGGAGATCCTTGTGAGCAGACAGGGAGGGGCTGTGGCTCAGCGGAAGAGCCTCCCGTTTGCCTGCAGAAGGTCCTGGGTTCAATCCCTGGCAACTCCAGTTAGAAGAACCAGGCGACAGGTCATGTGAAAGACCTCAGTCTGAGAGCCCGGAGAGCCGCTGCCAACCCGAGTAGACAATACTGCCCTTGATGGACCCAACCATCTGACTCAGTATAAGGGAACTTCACGTGTGCACTCTGTTGCAGGAAGGCGGAAAGAATACCCCAGAAAATCTCCAAGAGAAGCTTCGGACCCCCTTCCCCGGCCCTTTCTCAAATTTCAGAAGCAATATTCTATGTGGGTCTGGGAAGCGGCTGCAAGGGACAGATATTTTAATCCCTTTCTTTTTAAACAGACGTCTACAGGCATGTGTATTTACGGGTCTGATGCTGTCGCCCTGACCTGGATAGCCCGGGCTAGCCTCATCTCGTCACATCTGGTCACCACACCTTCAAAAGGATATTATAGCTTTGGAAAAAGTGCAGAAAAGGGCAGCTCGAATGATAAAAGGGTTGGAACACTTTCCCTATGAGGAAAGGTTAAGGCGCTTGGGGCTCTTTAGCTTGGAGAAACGACGACTGAGGGGTGACATGATTGAGGTCTATAAGATTATGCATGGGAAAGAGCACACCCAAAGAGTGATTAACACTTGGAATTCACTGCCACAGGAGGTGGTGGCGGCTACAAGCATGGACGGCTTCAAAAGGGAATTAGATAAGCATATGGAGCAGAGGTCCATCAGTGGCTGTTAGCCACAAGGTATAGATAGGGGCTCTGGGGCAAGTGATGCTCTGTCTTCTTGGTGCCTGGGGGGGGGGGTCAACAGTGGGAGGGCTTCTAATGTCCTGGCCCCACTGGTGGACCTCCTGATGGCACCTGGTATTTCTGGCCACTGTGTGACACAGAGTGTTGGACTGGATGGGCCTTTGGCCTGATCCAACATTGGCATCTCTTATGTTCTTATGTTCTTATCTCAGAAGCGAAGCAGTTTTGGCCCTGGCTAGTCTTTGGATGGGAGACCTCCGAGGAATACCAGGATTGTGACGCAGAAGCAGGCCATGGCAAACCACCTCTGAACACCTCTCGCCTTGAAAGCCCTACGGGGTTGCCTTAAGTCATCTGTGAGTTGACGGCCCCTTTCACCAGCGCGGGATGCTGAAGCAAGCACAGGGCTTCTCACACACAAAACGGACCATAAAGTGGAAGGAGGGGGGAGAGGAAGAGGATCGATTACGTAGACTGCTCTATATTTAGATGTGCTTTCAAGATCCACCACCACCACCACGCCGCCCCCAATACCCAAAAGCAGTTCAGCACTGGCCAGGAAATGGAGAACACATTAATCATTGCAAGACAGATGGCCTAAATATCTGGAGTCCGGTGGCACCTTTAGGACCAACAAAGGTCTGTTCAAGATGCGAGCTTTTGTGGGCATGCACACTTTTTCAAAGACATTGGAATGGAAGGTAGAGTTCGAACTTACAGACGGGGGCTGAGCAGCTAAGTAACGTGCTAGCAATGCAATGTTTTAAGATATGCACGGCAGTGTGGACTGCTTCTGCCCAGTAAGACACTGAAAGTCCAGATTGCATTAGCATAGAACGCGCCATTTCTTGAATGGTTCTGTTTAAGCGTTCTGCAGTTCCATTTTGTTGAGGAGAATAAGGAATTGTAGTCTTATGTTCAATTCCTTCTTGTTCCATGAATCTGTGGAACTCACTGCTGCAGTACTCTGTGCCATTATCTGTGAACAGCACGTCTGGCGCTGAGGACAAAACTAAATAATAAGCTAAGGTCATAAGGTCAACAGCTGTTTTGATTTAATTAAGGGGGGGAAGCAGTAAAGCAATAAATGGTGCCTTCCCACCCTTTCTATCAAGACAACTGTTGACCTTATAACTTTTGCTTGTTATTTAGTGTTGTCTTCCCATATCTTAAAACATCATCATGTTAACACGTTAATTAGCTGTTCAGCCGTGTCTATACGTTTGGGCTCTTACCTTCCATTCCAGTGTATTTGAAAAAGTGTGCATGCAGACGAAAGCTCATCCCTTGGATAAACCTTTGTTGGTCTTAAAGGTGCCACCGGACTCTAAATTTGTTGTGGATTACGTAGAACTATCTAGAGTCCCGTTCATACTTTACAGCAACCAAGTCCCTTTCCGTTAAGAGTGGACACGTTCTTCATGTTGCACTTCAAGTTACATGTGATGCATGCAACACACGACGACATGCACTTCACCCTTGCAGTTTTTAATGTTGTGCGCTAGCATTCACAAATCGATTGTCTTGACCGCCCGGGAAAATTCAATTGCCGACAACTGCCGTTATCTCAAAGATAAACGCAATATCCAACTCTGTGTGGGTGAATCATGGCAGGTATGTTTCTTCCCTTTATGGAGGGGGGAAGAAGAGAACCACATGAGCCACTGTGCCCAGAATGGCACACACAAAACCCTTGCATGGCACACTACGGGGCACACATGCACATTCTCACCACCGTGGGAAAGAACAACAGAGTCTGGTAAACGCTTTTGCCAGGCTTAAGATTCCAGTTCACTCCAGATTCAATGCTCTTTCAAAGCAGTTAGCCTCATTAGTACCAACAATTTATTACAGTGTTGGCTCCCTGATAGTTTGCTATTTTTCATGGTGCTGTTGCCTTTTCCTGATCCAGTATTAACCATTCTTGAAGGCTGACTTGGGGTTCTTGCTGGTATGTATTCCCTGGGGCACATCCCTAGCATCATGAGAGCTCCGTGGTCTGCTAACTCCATGTGGAACCAGGATGCCTTGGTCTTCGATTGCGGTGTCTGTGTAGGCACCGGTCCCATTACCTACCCTTCCTGCCTTCTTAAACCCCACCCCTACGTGAAACTCATGACCACCATCCATGATGCCTACACTGTGTTCAGTCTCGTCAAGCTCTATTTTCCCCTCTCAGAAATTGTGAGGATATTTTTGGAGCCTATTGTGGTGCTTTTGCACAGAACTGGGATATATTTAGAGGGCCCTTTCCTGTCTCTGTGGTCACTCCCATTCTGTGCTTGATCTTCGTATGGAATTGTATTTACATTGCAATTAATATATTAAAAAGTTGGGTCATATGAAACATACACCCATATATATGCATATGTGTGTGTGTGTGTGTGTGTGTATACACACACACACACACACATAAAAAGGTAAAGGTTCCTTTGCTCAAAAGCCAGTTGCCTATATTTTATATAAAAAGTTGAGACATAGAAATAGTTTTTAAAAAAATTATTGTATATACAGCATTTAACTTGGCTATATTTATTGCATTCATAGGCTGTTTTCCTTGTTCATTGCTCTCTGTTCAGAAGCCTTCAGCTCCAGCCAGCGATGGATGAAGTTTCTACAGGATGGTAGGCCAGGCAAGAAAATCCAAGATCAGTCTCAGCTCTACGCCCCCCCCAAAAAACTTTTTTCTGTGGTTACCCCCTTTCCTGTTTCTGTGGTCATTTCCATTCTGTGATTGGTTTTCGTATGCAATTGTATTTACATTGCAATTAATATATTAAAAAGTTGGGTCATACATATATAATAAGATGCATATTTTATATATATTTTTGTCTCAGCTCAGGGAGGATGGCTCCAGAGCAAGCTAATTGATGCAGCAGCCAAAACGCTCACTCACAGCTTTAATGCCAGTAGCCCACAAAGTAGGATTTTTGCTCACAGGACTCTGCTGCTTACATGGAGCATTGGTTGAGACACAGAAATCATTTTTGAAAAACTATTGAAAAATTATTGTTTATTGCTCTCTGTTCAGAAGCCTTCAACTCCAGCCAGGGATGGATGAAGTTTCTACAGGTCAAGCGAGAGAATCAGTCCCGGCTCCATGCCCCCACACCAGTGTTCCCTCTAAGCTGAGTTAGTGTGAGCTAGCTCACAGTTTTTTTTAGCCTCCGGCTCACATTTTTTGTCTTAGCTCAGGGAGGATGGCTCCAGAGCAAACTACTTTATGCAGTAGCCAAATCACCTACACACAACTTTAATGCTGGCAGTTCACAAAGTAGAATTTTTGCTCACAAGACTCCATAGCTGAGAGAGAGAGAGAGAGAGAGAGAAGAAAAAAGAAGAGATTGGATTTATACCCCGCGCTTCACTACCCAAAGGTGTCTCAGAGCAGCTTAGAAATGCCTTTCCCTTCCCCTCCCCACGACAGACACCCTGTGAGGGAGGTGGGGCTGAGAGAGCTCTTGACAGAAACTGCTCTTTTTCAAGAACAGCTCTTATCAGAACTACGGCTTGCCCAAGGTCATCCAGCCAGGTGCAAATGGAGGAGTGGGGAATCAAACCCGGTTCTCACAGATTAAGAGTCCACGCACTTAACCACTACACTACACTAGAGGGAGCATCACGGGCCCACACCCCTGTCTGTCCTTCAGCATCCACCCACCGCCACCTCCTGGAGTCAAACAACTTCAGAACGGGGCACTTCACTGAACTGACTCCACACCCCCCCCCACCTCCTATGTCAGAATTCAGAATAGCCGAGCGAGTGATGGAGGTCAACACAGAAGCCTTGTCCAGTAGCAAACACCTAGTCTTTTATTAATAAATTAGTACACCAGAAGGCAAGTTTTCTTTTCCAAAGTCATTCTCTCTTCCACTCCCCCCCCCCAAAAAAAAGACAAGGTAGCACACATCACCCTCTGACGACATTCTCTCCAAGACGAGCCGTTACCGTAGACTGGTTGGTTGGTTGGTCGGGGGGAGCACAGTAGTCGCAAATATAACGGACGCGGGTGTCTTACATTGCAGCATTTTAATTAAAAGTGTGAATTGGAGGAGAAGGCGAGGGGGGAAAGAGAGTGTCAAGACCAAGGGGGAGCCCCTGAAACTGTAACGATTGGCCACATCTGCATATAAAAAAAGAGAACCCCACGAAAAAGAGAGACACCATTTTTTTTTGAAGCACAAATCAGTAAAATTGTACAGAATGGAAAAAAAAAAACGCGGCACCTCCAGGGTTCGTTTGTCCGTTCGGGGTTTTCTTTCTGGAGTCCAGCTCCAGGCACAGCTTCAAAGTGATCGAGCCCGTGGTGGTCGGAAAACGGCAAGGCAAAAAAATACTCCGCCCCCTAGGTGAAGTGTACAGGATTACATTCAGATGCAGGCCGGGGGAAAACCCCCCCCCCCAATGTCTTTATTGTCTTGAAGGCTGAAGAAGTTAAAGAAGAAGTAAAAATGCTTCCACTTTATAGCTTTAGAGGAGCCCAGGTGACCAAGCATTTTAAATGCTCTGTCCAGGTGCAAAAAAACAACCACCACCAATAAATAACTGTGCTAGTATGTCAACGAAAGAATGAGTTGTCGTTTTGCTTTTCATTCTGTAAAGAGTCATCTTTCGGGTGGGAAAATGGTTTGACTGAAAGCTGTCCGTCACATATGCCTCCGTTCATGAGCAGGGCATGAAAGAAAGATGAGAAATGCCTGATTGGGGAGGGGGGGGGGGAAATATTCCCAAATTGGAGTCGCCGTTTTATTTTTAAAAAAACAACCACCCCCAAAATTGATCTGATGGCGTTTAAAAGGAGTAGAAATGCAAACCGGGAAGGTTTGAACAGACGATCTGTGGTCTACAATTTTATTTGTTTTTTTTTAAAGTGCTTAAAATGACTCACTGGAATGAGAACGGAGAAAATTCCGGAAGGAGGAAGAGGGGGGAAAACAAGACCGTTTTGATTGAGATGATAAACGTGGAAGGGCGCAAAGGACAGCAAATCGTCCCTCTCCCCCTGGCAATGAGAGAAAAGAAGAAAAACCCTTGAGGAAAATACTGGCCACGAATTCTACAAAACCTCCTGCCTGCCTGCCTGCCTGCCTGCGGTCAATTGTCCTTCGCAGGTGCCAAAGCGATCACAAACAGCAGCCAGCGTGAGTGAGCGCAGCGTGCATTTGGTGGCGGCCGAGGCCTAGAGCAGATCGGGCAGGTGGCTATAGACTGAATCCAGCAGAGTCTGGCTCGCTTCCTGACTCTTGACGCCGGCGATCTCAAACAATCGGTCCAGCTTATCTTCTGCCTGGGGAATCTCGTCGATGGTGTGCAGCTCCTCTGGGTTCAGGATGTGAAGCATGTCGTCAAAGATGGGCTGCAGGTCACAGGGGTCCAGGCGCACCTGGCGCAGCACCGTGTCTTTCTTTTCTGCGGGGAGACAGGGGGAAAGGACACATTCGGTGATACAGGACAGGCCCGTAGCTATGAGGGGGCTTCGGGGGGTTCCGCCGCCTTTCGTAAAGGCACAGCCCCACAAGAATTCCTCCTGTAAATGCTTTTTTCCAATCATTTAAAAACATTTTTTTTTAAGCCGTGCATGCCTTTAAGCAGAGTGGGGTGCTGTAGTTGATTAATTCTGGCACTGAGCAAGGGGGTTGGAATAGGTGACCTCTAGGGTCCCTTCTAACTCTGTGTCAAGAAACTGGTCTCCTTTAAGAGAGCTTTTCTGCCTAAGTGTTAGCTTTCTTGAAATCATCACCCCCACCTGCCTGTTTGCCCCACAAGCCACAAAATCCTGGTTACAGGTCTGGTACAGGAAGGCCTGAAGTATTTTTAAAGGGAAGCCCAACTCAAAGTTAGTGTAGATCAGGAGTATCCATCCTTTCTGAACCTGCGAAACCAATAAACAAACTGAGATCATGACCAATAACAACATAACTGCAAATGGATCTGCCGAGGATGGGCGAATGTGGCAAATGGAGCTCAATGTGACCAAGTGCAAAGTGATGCACATTGGTGCCAAATACACGTTGATGGGGTCCGAACTGGCAGAGACTGACCAAGAGAGAGAACTTGGGAGTCATAGTAGATAACTCACTGAAAATGTCGAGACAGTGTGCGACTGCAATAAAAAGGCCAATGCTATGCTGGGGATCATTAGGAAGGGAACTGAAAACAAACCGGCCAATTTCATAATGCCCCTGTATAAATCGATGGTGCGACCTCATTTGGAATACTGTGTACAGTTCTGGTCACCACACCTCAAAAAGGATATTATAGTATTGGGGAAAAGTGCAGAAAAGGGCAACTAGAATGCTAAAATTGAATGCCCCTATGAAGAGAGGCTAAAGTGCTTGGGGCTCCTTAGCTTGGAAAAACAACAACTGAGGGGTGACATGATTGAGGTTTATAAGATTATGCATGGGATAGAGCAGGTTGAAAAAGAAGTCCTTTTCTCCCTTTCTCACAATACACGAACTCATGGGTACTCAATGAAATTGCTGAGCAGTCGGGTTAGAATGGACAAAATTCATCCAAAGAGTGATTAACACATGGAATTCACGGCCACAGGAGGTGGCGGCGGCTACAAGCATGGACGGCTTCAAGAGGGAAATAGATAAGCATATGGAGCAGAGGTCCATCAGTGGCTATTAGCCACAAAGTATAGATAGGGACTGTATAGAAAAATTGCTTTCTGCTTTCTATATCCACATGCCTTCTCCTGTGATGTCTTTTGATACCATGCTGTCTCTGTTTCCTGTTGCAGGACAAATGGTCCAGGGCAAACCAAATGGCCTGCACTACCTCAATAGCCATGCCATATAACTCTAGGTCTGGGGCAAGGGATGCTCTGTATTCTTGGTGCTTTGGGGGGGGGCAACAGTGTGAGGGCTCCTAGTGTCCTGGCCCCACTGGTGGACCTCCTGATGGCACCTGGTATTTTTGGCCACTGTGTGACACAGTGTTGGAGTGGATGGGCCATTGGTCTGATCTGACATTGGCTTCTCTTATGTTCTCTTATGATAGAACACTACCCAGCTTGAAACACTCTAATGAGACATTGTGAATTAGGAGGTAAATGTGTCCCGTCACAAAGAGGTGACTCGAAATGGATTGTGACAACTAAGGCCTGAACTAGGACACAAGAAGAGCTCTGCTGGATGTGTCCAGTTGTCCATCTAGTCCAGCATCCTGTCTCACCTTCTATACTGGAAAACAATGGATAAAACATAGAAAGATTTCAGACTGGATAAAACTATCCCTTAAGATAAAGATATCCCTACCTTTGGTAATGAAGGAGCCCGTTCGGCTCAGGGCGGAGGAACCGCTGGAGGTTGAGTCACAGCGCAGAAGAGGTTCCGACTCATCCACAAAGAAGCACTTGTTCTTCTCCAAGGGAGACGGCTCCACGGGGATAATCGTCGCGTCCGGCTTTGGAGTCGGGGAGGGCGTGAGGCTGAGCGGGCCGGGACTGACCGGGAGGGTCAGCTTGTCCGCTTCCAGCTGGAAGACAAGGAGAGACAAAGATACGTTTGGCACGGTCAGTCGGTGGGGTAACCTCATGAGGGCACCATCGATAAAGACATTTAGTCCATCAGCTTTTAGTGGGACGTACGACAACCTGATTTACTCCTTGTCAGGGCTTTTTCTGTAGAAAAAGCCCAGCAGGAACTCATTAGCATAATAGGCCATACCCAACAGCAGGAACTCATTAGCATATTCGGCCACACCCATGACCGCACATCTCATTAACATATTAGGCCACACCCCCGTGTTACCAGAAGTGTGGTCATCCAGCCACACCCACCTTTTGCTTCTTATTCTGTTTACCTTGTTTGTTGTCCAGGGCTCTTTTTGGAGCAGGAACTCCTTTGCATGATAGGCCACACACCCCTAATGTAGCCAATCCTAATGAGTTTCTGGCGTTGGGTGTGGCCGATTATGCTAATGAGTTCCTGCTGGGCATGGCCAACTTGGGAGCCAGCCGGAACTCCGTTCCTGTGCGTTCCTGCCCAAAAATAGCCCTGCAGTCCTTGTCGCTCTCTGTGTTAAGAAGAGGTGAGCGCGAGGAACCCAGCCAAGGAAACCTGCTGCCAGGGCAAGGAAGGACCCAAGGAAATCCGCAATCGGAGCTAGGAGGGAGACGCAGCCAATGTTTCCCGCAACACTTGTTTACATGGCCAGGGGGCAAAAGTGCAGAAATAATTATTTGTGCTCATGATAAAATCATTTACAGGAACAAGGCATGTGTGTGGGTGTGTGTGGGGGGGAGCGTAGACACCTGGGGATCTCCATTGCTTATCACTCGCTTTTAAACCTGAAGAAGCAAAAGAAAGGGCCGATAAATGCTGGTTTAGGATTTCTTTTTGTCCCGGGTCCCGAGATTTACAAAACGCCACGTGCTCCGTTTCAAAGCCATTAACAAACCAGGCACGACTCGGAATCTGCCAATCTAAAGGCAAGGAGGAGACTCAGCGTCCTGGCTGGCACAGCCAATGAGCAACTGGCAGGCCACAAGCTGGGGCCTTTGTAACCCAGGAATCACCACGTTGCCAGCCTTTTTGTGAGTGGAGAGGGGCTGTGGCTCAGTAGCTGGAGCATCTGCTTGGCACGCAGAAGGTCCCAGGTTCAATCCCCGGCATCTCCAATTCACATTGCTCAGGTGTTGTGAAAGACCTGCCCCTGGGACCTTGCAGAGCTGCTACCGGTCTGAGTAGATAACAATTCCGACCTTGATGGGAGAACAGTCTGATTCAGTCGGATTCCCTTCCCCTCCCCACAACAGACACCCTGTGAGGTAGGCGGGGCGCCGAGGGAGCTCTGACAGAAAACTGCTCTTTCAAGGATAGCTCTGACAGAACTATGGCTTACCCACTTGCAGCTGCTGGATGACCTCAGGCAAGGCATAGTTCTTTCAGAGCTGGTCTCTCACAAGTAGTCCTCGAAAGAGCTCTCTCAGCCCCACCTACCTCATAGGGTGTCTGTTGTGGGGAGGGGAAGGGAAAGAAGTTTGTAAGCCGCTCTGAGAGTCCGAGTGAAGGGCAGGGTATAAATCCAATCTCCTCCTCCTCTTCCTCCTCTTCCTTCTCTTCTTCTTCTTCTTCTTCTTCTTCTTCTTCTTCTTCTTCTTCTTCTTCTTCTTCTTCTTCAGTATAAGGCGGCTTTCTGTGTTCATGACCTGCCCCTTCCCTCTCCTTCTGTCTAAGCACAATTCTGAAGTTCAACAGAAACAGGGAACCCACGCGAAAGCTGTCCATTGTCCTTGTACAAGAGGATGTTGGGTGTTACAGGTTAAAAACACTCAGTATATATGGGGTTAAACGTCTGTTTGTGTTGTCACAGGAAGTCACATGTTTTTATATAAGCCAATGGTAGTTTAGAACTGCAAGCCCGGGGAAACCATCCCTGATCTAGGAGTTTTCATTGGAAGCAAAGTGTCAAAGTATTTTAGCATTTTATGGCTCCTCTTCCCGTCTTTGTGTTCTGTTCTGAAGAAGAAGTACAGAAGCCATTATAGCTCTTCTAGTGTTGTCCTTTGTAGAGTAAAGATGTAGCTGTTTAGCTCTGTTGCTATTTTATTCCCAGTTACCCTTTTCCCCTATGCTAGGATGTAGTAAAACTTTTCTATTTTAATCACACATGGACTCTGAGTCTGGATTATTTTACTCTGGCATTGCTAAGCTATTTTAACTCTGCTGAATTACAATTTTAAAAATCCAACAGAGGAAGTATGCTGAAGTTGTATAAGAGGAAGCACACAACAGTTTTGAAGCGTGGACTCTGAATATGTCACCAGAGAAGCCTCTACTTCCTCTCTCCCACTCCTTCTACAAAGCTCATCGTTGTCTTTCTGCAGAGGGGGCCATTGTTTCTTCTCAGAGTCGCTGCTGATGCTAAATGGCGGGGAAAAGAGAGCTGAGCCTGGACTAGGCCTCACCCTCACCTCCTTCACACTAAAGCCCCCTCAAAGACGGCCACACAAACCCGCTACTTTGAGGAGAAGACGAGAAGAAGAAATTGGGTCTGTGCCCCGCCCTTCACTACCCGAAGGAGTCTCAGAGCGGCTGACAAACTCCTTTCCCTTCCCCTCTCCACAACAGACACCCTGTGAGGGAGGTGGGGCTGAGAGAGCTCTTTCGAGGACTGCTCGTGAGAGAACAGCTCTGAGAAAACTCGTGACTGACCCAAGATCTCCCAGCGGCTGCATGTGGAGGAATGGGGAATCGAACCCAGTTCTCTCAAATTAGAGTCCCCGTGGGCAACGGGGTACTTTTATGCACTGTTGGTGGTCGTGCGTTTTTGTACAACAATTTTGGACCAAAGTAGTCTTACCTATCAAAGATATTACAGGTTATTTAATCTCTATGCAACCTGACCTTATATTACTTGACTGTTGGGCAGACTCTCCTATACCCAAAATTAGGCAAGACCTCATTTCAGTTCTATTAACGGCTGCAAAGGTTATCATTGCTAGTTGTTGGAAATCCCCAAATAGATTATTACTGTCCTCATGGCGTTTGAAAATATGGGATTATTATGCTATGGATAAAATTTCCGAGGTACAACTGTCAATACCAATCTCTCATGTAAAAACCCTAACCTTCATTTGAAATGGTTCCCTTTTCTTGAACACATGTTTAACTCTGAGTTCTCTAAATTCAAGGTTCCTAAAAAGTATTATGATGTATTTCACCACATGTAATCTATTTTGACGTTCGTATAAAATTATGCAGTTACCTTGTTGTGTAATAGTATTGTTGACAACCATGAAAGTATGTGTATTGTTTAAGTTGAAATAAAAACATTTAAATTAAAAAAAAAAATTAGAGTCCGCGCTCCGAACCACTACCCCAAACTGGCTCTCCTGACCTTCATGGGAGAGTGATCTGATTCAGCATAAGGCAGTTTTGTGTGTTCATGAGCGTCCGCTTCCCTCTCCACCCTCCCTTTCCTTGCCCTAAATTCTTCCTCCACACCTTCAGGTGAGCGTGGTCCATGCTTGGGCAGAGCGTTTGGCTTAGAGATCAAGGAGACCTGGATGCGAATCCTCATTTAGCGGCAAGGCCCAGTGGGTGAACTGGGGCTAGTCACGACATCTCACCTTAACCTATCGAATCACGGAGGAGCTGTGTAGAAGAAATGGGAGGAAAACCCCCGTATGCTTTCCTAAGCTCCTTTGCATCAAAATGTCTGTGCTGTTGCAATCTGGAGTATGCCGTTCAGGTGTGTATCTGTAAGCTGCAAAGCTACAATGACGCAGCAGCAGCAGAACTGGAAGAAGAAGCAGAAGACAGCCAGTTCCACTAAGGGCCTGATAGAAGCCTTCCAGGGGGGCCTGATCCAGCCCCCGGGCCACATGTTTGACACCCCTGGGTTAGGGTATGGGACTAGGATCTGGGATATCATGAATTCAAAACCCCACTCTGCCATGTAAGCTTGCTGGGTGACCTTAGGCCCATCATGGTCAGTTTTATCTACTCGGACCAGTAGCGGCTCTGCAAACCTACGTGCATATACACATTTTCCCAGAGTGAGCTCTACAGTCTGCCACGGTACCCGAAATCATCCACCCGCATCCTTAACAGCTGTGTTGCTTGCTCGAAGACACCCGGAGACATTCAATACAGAGGGCACAGCAAACGTACGGTCTTGCAAGACAGCTTCTCATCTTGGTGCCGATTTGCTACCGACTCCCATGTCTACAACTCGCATGTCTACCTAGGTGCCCACCTCATCCCCTCCTTTGGTACATCAAATTAGCACTCAAGCCCCGGCCCGGCCTACTGCTTGATAAATGGGCTTCCTTCAGGAGGCAAGACAATCATGAATGGGTTTGTTCAATCAGCGTTACGTAACGAGTCACACGCAGTGGTCACTTGGACCTCGACGTGATGACTGATCGCACTGTTAACAAACGACAACTTGAGGGTCACGTTTTCTTATTAGCCTGGCAACGTGCTAAGCCACAGGAGGACACTGGCTGTGCATCGTCCCGCCGGAAGAGAAACCAACCAGAGACTCACCCAGCGTTGAGATTCTGTGCTGCCTACAAAGTGCACACTACTAAAACGAAACAAACTAAAAACTCAACTAAAAACTCAAACTACTGGACATTTGAATTCTGAGTATTTTCATTTAAATGCAATAGTTTTTTTTCCCCCAGAAATCCTCCTGCACAAGAAAAGTTAGTGTTTTTCCAATTAGTATTTAGGGTTTTAGACATTATTTGAACACTATTAGAATTAGGAGGGCCGCGGTGGCTCAGAGGTTAAGACGCTGAGCTGCAGACCGGTAGGTCTGTAGTTCAGCAGTTCAAGACTCGTGTGCCGCGTGACGGAGTGAGCGCCCATCTTTGGTCCCAGCTCCTGCCAACCGAGCAGTTTGAAAGCGAGAAATTGCAAGTAGATAAATAGGGACCACTGCGGTGGGAAGGTAACAGCGTTCCGCGCGCCTCGGTGTTTAGTCATGCCGGCCACATGACCACGGAAATGTCTTTGGACAGC